GGCGGCGGCGGCGGACATGTCCCGGCTCTGAAGACGCCCAAGGTAAGGGCAGGGAGCGGGGGCCGTGCCGGCCGTTACCGGGTGTTGTTCCTCCGCTCCGCCCTTGCGCTGACGAGCGCTCTCCGTCCCGGGCCAGGGCACCCGCGACCACTCCCCCGCCCACGTGGTGCTCCGTGACCGGCTCCTCGCCGCCGTGGTGGCCTGCTTCAAGCGGCACGGGGCGGCCGCCATCGACACCCCCGTGCTGGAGCTGCGGGTGAGGAGGCGGCGGGGGGGTCTCGGGGGGCAGCGGGAGCCCCCACTCCTCCTTGGTGTGGGGGGTGACCCCCCACTGGGCCTGTGGGACCGCCGTCTCTCCCCTGGGGGGGCTGTGGGGTCCCCTGCTGCTCCTGTGGGGCTGGGGAGCACCTTTCCCCAGGGCTGAGGGGCAGGTTTGGGGTAGGGCAGGGCTGGGCGATACCCCCGTGTGGGGCATGATAGGGGGGGCAGCCGTGATAGTCCCTCTTGGGTCCCTGTTATGTGGGGGGATGGGGACTGTCTCTTCTGCCCCAGGTCAGAGGGGGCTGGAGGGGGGATGTGTATTGTGTCTTCCCCACTCTGCTTGACTGGTGGGGCACAGAGGGGGAGGGATGGGCTCTGTGCTCTGTCCCCCATCCCAGGGGGACGCTGCTCCCCAGAGTCACTCTGGTCCTTTGCTGCCCTGACAGCCCTCTTGTCTCTCCCCAGGAGATGCTGATAGGGAGGTACGGGGAGGGTGCGAAGCTCATCTACGAGCTGCAGGACCAGGGAGGGGAGCTGCTGGCCCTGCGCTACGACCTGACTGTATCCTGCACTCGCCCTGTGGCTGTTGTGGAGGGGACAATGGCACACCGAGGTCGCTGCCACCTCCGCCTTGTGGGTCACCCTTGCCCTGCCTTCAGGTCCTATCAGGGTGATGGAAACCCCCTTTCCTGCTGAGCGGTGACACCCCAGTTGGTCTGGCTGTTGTCTGCATGCCCCCACCTCAAACCACCCCACAGCCAGTCCCTTTCGTCCATGGGCTGTAGACATGCACCAGTATGCTCTACTGTACTGGTTTTACTTCTTCCCAGTTACAGTCCCCTGTGTGCTCCTGTCCTGCCTGTCCCACCTTTCGAGTGCCTCAGTAGTTGTTCTGGGAGAACAGCAGACTTTGCTGCAGGTACAAAGCAGGTGTCCATCCTAGGCTTTCTCCCCCTCCACATCTCCAAAAAGCTCTCCTCTTCAACATCTGTATGTCTGTGCTGTTTGTTGAATTCTCTCTGATTGCACCATGAGAGGGCAAAATGACCTATTGAAGGTCTGTGTTTGCAAGGTGTTGATGTGCTGTGGTTCAGAAGGGGGTGATGGAGTTGTTCTGGTGTTGGAGGAGCTCAATGTGGTTTATCATACTTGTCGTCAGCCTGGGCTGATCTCCCCGGAGATTGAGGAGCAGCTGCCAAAGCAAAAGGGAGACAGTGCACTTCGGGCTTCAGCTTTCTGCAGCTCAGGACATCTCCATGTTCCTGTCCTTAACTCCTCAGCCCCCAGGTGCCCTTTGCTCGCTATTTGGCGATGAACAAGATCACCAACATGAAGCGCTACCATGTTGCTAAGGTGTACAGGCGGGACAACCCGGCCACGACCAGGGGCCGCTACAGGGAGTTCTACCAGTGTGTGAGTGTTGTGGTGGCTGCCACGTGCCGGGCAGGCGGGCACGGGGGCCTGGCATGGGTTTTACTGCCTTCAGCTGCCACAGGCCTGTGTGGAGTGCCTTGTGGAACTGAAGCACCTCAGCTGTGCCAGGAGCCTCTGCCGCTTCTTTTGCCCCCAGGATTTTGACATCGCTGGCCAGTTCGACCCAATGATTCCTGATGCCGAATGCCTGAAGATTGTGCACGAGATCCTGAGTGACCTGCAGCTCGGGGACTTCCTCATTAGGGTGAGATCAGAGCCAAGCAGTTTTCATACCTCTGTGCCTTCCCTTCCTATGGGATAGAGGCGCTGTGAAAAGGCATGAGGAAATGCCAATAGCTGCAGCTTCCCACCCGCTGGGCAAGAAGAAATGGCAGTGAGGGGATCTACCCTGAGCTAAACCTGCCTATCCCACCCCCAGGTCAGTCATCGACAGATTTTGAACGGTGTGTTCGCTGTCTGTGGCATCCCAGAGAGCAAGTTCATAACTACTTGTTCTACCGTGGACAAGCTGGACAAGGTAAGCATTGTGCTTGTGGGAAGATTGCTTCCAGTCCTAGGGGGTAGATATCTTGGGCTGGGCAGCTTCACAGCTGTTCTCATCAGAAAGAGGTTCACAACAGCTAAGTTGTTATTGTTTGTAAAGGGTTTAGGGAGCTCTTGAGCATGGTTAAGAATACAGCCTGGCGTTCACAGCAGTTTCTGTTAACAATTCCTGCGAGAGAGATGCGGATCATTAGTGAGATTGCTGACTGCTGTCTTACTGCACGTGTTGTGGGTGCATGGGCTGGTGGAGACAGAATGTCCTGCACCAACGGATGATATTCTCTCCCCTCACAGATGCCGTGGGAAGAAGTGAGGAGTGAGATGGTAGGAGAGAAGGGGCTCTCTCCTGAGGCTGCAGATCGCATTGGGGAGTACGTCCAGCTCCACGGTGAGCGCTGCAGGGTCGAGCCCTTGGCCTTGCTCCTCCAGGCCAGGCAGGAGGGCCGGTGACGGAGGGGCACAGGGCAGCACACAGGGCTGGCCAGGCCCGCTGTGGCGGGGGATGCTGCAGTGGCAGACCCGAGGCCTGGCTCGTTTCCACAGGTGGCCTGGACCTGATTGAGCGGCTTCTCCAGGACCCAAAGCTGTCCCAGAACAAGCTGGCCAAGGAGGGGCTGGGGGACATGAAGCTGCTGTTTGAGTACCTCACCCTGTTTGGCATCACGGAGAAGGTGAGGAGGGGCAGAGGCAGGAGGGGGTGCTGCCTTCATGGCCGGGCAGCCTGGGCCCCCCAAATGCACCCAGCGACGGGCCTCCCCTTGTGTCCTACAGGTCTCTTTCGACTTGAGCCTGGCGCGGGGGCTGGACTATTACACGGGGGTCATCTACGAGGCTGTCCTGCTGCAGCAGGAGAACGACCATGTGGACGAGCCCGTCAGTGTGGGGAGCGTGGCTGGAGGTGGTCGCTACGACGGGCTGGTGGGGATGTTTGATCCCAAGGGACGGAAGGTGCCCTGTGTAGGGGTCAGCATTGGGATCGAGCGGATCTTCTCCATCCTAGAGCAGAGAGTGGCGGTAGGTGTTGCCAGTGGTGCATGGGAAAGGGTTCTAGGAAGCCAACTATCATTTATTACAGAGGTCTACAGCTCCATGGTGTTTTGAGGGGAAAGTATTTTGGGGGGAGGGGGTGGCTCCTCTCATGCCTGAATGTCCATGTGCAGAGGACAGAGCTCTCTTCTGTAGCCTATCAGGGGCAACTGAGGGCAGTGTTTTGTAGCAGATGCCAAGGAAGTGTTAGAGATGAGTCCTGGCTCTGGACGTTGTGCCCCAGTCACTTTGCTTTTTTCTCTTGCCTGATTTCTGTCTTGGGGACTGTGAGTTGATGAATTCAGTAACTGTTGTAGCACTTGCTCTCTGTAATGAGGACCCTGGGAAAGCCTGTCAGGAAATTTGTCACTCTGCATTTAGTTCTGAGCTTGCAACTCATAAAAATGCCGAGGAAATGTGTTTGTACCTGAAGAATCAAAGGAGACATTGGAAGGCTGTCCAGGTCCTCTCCAGGAGGGCAGAAGGCCAAGGTCCCACAGGAACAACAGCACATGATTAAGTAGCGTGTTGCAATGCAGATTCTTTGGGGGGACTCATTAAACGTGCCCAGGTTGTCTTATCTGTGCACTCTTTTTGCTTCTGGAAAGTTAGGCCTGCTCAGTAACATTCCCTGAATAGTGATGGTTAGCTTTTAAGTATACTTGTTTTGAGGAGCTAAGTTAAGGTCTGAAGGTAAGGTGAGATGAGCTGTTGCAAGCTGCGGATTCCCTTTGAGCCAGTCACTGCCACAAGTGTGTCTGTCCCTGCAGGTTTCTGGGGAGAAAGTTCGAACGACTGAGACACAAGTGCTCGTGGCCACACCTCATAAACACTTAATCACTGCAAGACTGAAGCTCATCTCTGAGCTATGGGATGCAGGGATCAAGGTAAAGTAAGGACTTGGGCTTGGCAATAGTACCAGTGATGGAGGGAGAGCCTGAAGGGAGCTGTAGCACAGCAAGACCAACACCATTAATTGTGTGTCTCTTCAAGATCTGGACCTGACTCGGATCTAGCAAGCAGAGAAGAACAGTTGATAGCACTATAGGCAACTGCTTGCTGCAAGAATAGTGAGGCATAGTTTTCTCTGGGGTTTTGGTACTGGCTGTTTCACTCCAAGATACATCAGAGCAAATTTTGCATTAATGATTCACCTTTTCCGCTCCCTCCTAGGCAGAGATGATGTACAAGAAGGATCCTAAACTGCTGAAGCAGCTGCAGTATTGTGAAGACACGGGGATTCCCCTTGCTGCCATTGTAGGAGAGCAAGAGCTGACAGATGGAGTTGTCAAGCTGCGAGATGTCGCAACAAGAGAGGAGGTGAGAATGTCATTTTACACCAGGTTTCAAAAGTAATTCCAAAATCTAGAGATTACTGAAAGGCTTTGGGGTTTTTCTCAGTGATATTGTTCTTCTGGGGAGCTGTAGCACAGATCTGTCAGGTGACTGCTCCAGAAAACAAGTCACAAACTGCGTTGGTATCAACAGCAAGTCCTTAGGGACAGTTTGAACTGTGCTCTGCTCAGGTTTCCAATGCTGCTACCTCTTCTTTTATGTTTGATTTATAGGTTGATATCCCAAGAGAAAAGCTTGTTGATGAGATCAGAAGGCGGCTGGAGCCTTAGGACTCTTCTGGCTAGAGCTGCTTGACTGAACTGCTGTACAACTGGAATCCTCCAGTGCCCTTAGCCCCTCACTTCCCACTGAAGTCTGCTCACCATTTGCTAGCCTGAGGCTCAGCTGCCTGGGCTAAGGCAGTGTCAGCACAGGGCAAGGAGCAAGCGGCTATGGACAGTGAATCTGCCAGGTTAACCTTCTGGTTAACTGCTTGGAAGGATGGGTCAAGCTTGTGGGTTGCTGATAATGCAGTACCTGTCACTGTACAGCCATTTCCATCCACTGTAGGTGGTCATGGTGGTGGCACAGGCAGATGGATGTGGTGCAGCTCAAGCAGGATCAGGCTGAGCTCCGGAGTGGAGGGGGCAATCTGTGACAGGTTCAGGATATAGGGAGAGGGTGGCAGTGGAAGGCCACCCCCACCCCTCGGAGGGGGCTGCGAGGGCCAGTCCTAGTCTGCAGCCAGGCTCTTGCCTCAGGCCTGGGCCTGGCGGGCTCGGGGCTGCTGGCAGGGGAGCCTGTGCCCGCGGGGAGGGACGCAAGGGGCTGCCGCAGCCGTGAGGGCAGGGTCCGGCAGGGGCGAGCGTGGAGGAACTCTATTTTTATATATTAAAAAAACCCAAACGAAACGAATCACGAAACCTTCCTCTCGGGCGCCCCGCAGGGCCTGCGGCGCCGCAGTGCGCAGGCGCGGCCTCGCTGCTGTCTTACT